CACCAAGGACGAAAAGCGAGTGACTGTCACTCCGAAAACTTATGGTTTCTTGAACCATCACTCCTGTCAGTCAACCTCTGAGAGGCGAGCGAGTGTCGAATTAGCTGAACATAGGATTGGAGAATATCAAGGAGAATGGGTGGGTTAAACAGAACTTTGAGCCTCATATCTTTTCTTTCAAACCGTGAACCTGACCAAGTTACAACCTTCAAAAGTCCTAATTGAAGCAAGTTTGTTTCGAAGGCATACTTCGGTAAAGATCACGTCGAAACTGACTCCTAAAAGGATTTTCTTACCCTATGGGTATTAATATTGACATTTTGATAAGTGATTCATTCACTATATGTCACAACTTTTTCCCAGTGAACAGACTTGGATTTCAAAAAATGACATATGCATTGCATTAATATTATCTTTTGCAAAACAATTTGTTTTACTCGCGAGAAAACATTTGACATCAGGAAAGTTTCTACAATGCGAAGTTTGATAGAAATAAGATATAGAGCGCCCGAGTACTCCTTTGAGCAGGGGCAAGTCACGTCAGGTAAACGTAAGCAGAGTCGGTCATTCCTAGATGCAGTTAATCTGGGGCAATCAGGTCGAGACTCGTCAAACCAATCGAAGGCCAGTCGAAGACGCCATTCCCTAAGGTCGATTAATCTGGGGCAATTAGGTCGAGATTTGATAAATCTCTCGAAGTCAGCCAGGGGCACTTCTCTACAAATCAGCCAATTAGGGGAAAATCACTTCAAAGCTGGGGCAGGTCACCCCAGGAGCACGACAACCATCCTTATCCAGAAAGGAAATTGACTTGAAGTACCTCTTCAAGGTTCGAAGCGCTGAGGCAGTTCATATCTAACCATCAGGGTACCGAAATTTCAGGTTTCCTTTCGAGGAAGGTTTTTACAAAAGTCCCGCAGGCTGGGGCAAAATTGGAAACAAAGGAGATGTGTTCCTCTCCATGTCTTCAGAGCTTATCAGAGTTATAGAAGCAGATTTGGGTTTATTTCCCCAGCAGTAGGGCGAGTGCAGTACTGTTATCCCCACAGAGTCTAAATGGTTGACTTCTTTCCCCCCAGAGTCTAGGTCATTGACTCATTCCTCAAGCGGAAGTCGTATTTGTTGAGTTTACTTCTCAATTTTCCCCAAGCAGAGATTGATGTCCCTCCTTATCTAATTCCCAGACAAATCAGCGGAATTAATCTTCCTCCTCACAAAGTAGGGCTGACTCAGAGATCGTTCATCTCCATCCCCAGCAGAGAAAGTGTGGGATAAATTCCCGACAAGTCTTATTCAACATCCCTAGCAGATAGTGGATTCAATCTCCGACAGAAGAGAGTTATTCCTCAGCAATCTGCTATGTTTCCCCAGTAGGGTTATTCTGGCTAATCATTCATGGTTGATTTCCCCGCCAGAGTGGAGTGGTTGTCTCCAGTCAAGTTGTTTGTTCCTCAAAAGAGTTATAGGCCGATAGGCCATTCGGAACGTTTTCCACAGCAGAGTTTGATTTGGATTCCCAGCGGAATGGATTTATTCTTAGCAAAGCAGTTTTACCCAGAAGTTTTTTTCTCGGAGGCCATCCAAGGCTTGTATTCCCCAGCATGAGTTTGTTTGCGCTAGGCGTATCTAGCCTTTCCCTAACGGAGTTGGCTCTTTCTCTTTAGCATTTATTTTGCTAAAGGGGTTCATTTGCATCTACATACATGCATGGCATCTACCCGAACGCGAAGCATTCCCATTTCGTATGGAGCATTTCGTCATATCCAAACATATGCATGCGAAACATAAGCCAGGTCGTTACCCTTTTGTTTCAAGTGAATCTCGCAGATGATTAGTATCTTTGCCCGTGTGTTGGCTAGACCCCAGCTCATGGTGTTTCCCCAGCAGAGTTATTTTGCGACTATCACCAATGGATGGTCTTAATTTCGTTTGAATCTTGTTGCTCGCTTATATTTAGCGAAGGCTTGACGGCGATGTCAAGTATTTAGTATTCTTCAACGGCGATGTTGAGAAGTCTGTTTTGACGGCGATGTCAAGTATTTATATTCTTCAACGGCGATGTTGAGAAGTTTGTTCTGACGGCGATGTTAGATGATTTAGTATTCTTCAACGGCGATGTTGAGAAGTCTGTTTTGACGGCGATGTCAAGTATTTATATTCTTCAACGGCGATGTTGAGAAGTTTGTTCTGACGGCGATGTTAGATGATTTAGTATTCTTCAACGGCGATGTTGAGAAGTCTGTTTTGACGGCGATGTCAAGTATTTATATTCTTCAACGGCGATGTTGAGAAGTTTGTTCTGACGGCGATGTTAGATGATTTAGTATTCTTCAACGGCGATGTTGGGAAGTCTGTTTTGACGGCGATGTCAAGTATTTATATTCTTCAACGGCGATGTTGAGAAGTTTGTTCTGACGGCGATGTTAGATGATTTAGTATTCTTCAACGGCGATGTTGAGAAGTCTGTTTTGACGGCGATGTCAAGTATTTATATTCTTCAACGGCAATGTTGAGAAGTTTGTTTTGACGGCGATGTCAGATGATTTGTTTATTCAGCGGCGAGGTTGGATGTTTGTTTCTGGCGGCGATGTCGGAGTAATTTGTTTATTCAGCGGCGAGGTTGGATGTTTGTTTCTGGCGGCGATGTCGGAGTAACTTGTTTATTCAGCGGCGAGGTTGGATGTTTGTTTCTGGCGGCGATGTCGGAGTAATTTGTTTATTCAGCGGCGAGGTTGGATGTTTGTTTCTGGCGGCGATGTTGGAGTAACTTGTTTATTCAGCGGCGAGGTTGGATGTTTGTTTCTGGCGGCGATGTCAGAGTAACTTGTTTATTCAGCGGCGAGGTTGGATGTTTGTTTCTGGCGGCGATGTCGGAGTAATTTGTTTATTCAGCGGCGAGGTTGGATGTTTGTTTCTGGCGGCGATGTCGGAGTAACTTGTTTATTCAGCGGCGAGGTTGGATGTTTGTTTCTGGCGGCGATGTCGGAGTAATTTGTTTATTCAGCGGCGAGGTTGGATGTTTGTTTCTGGCGGCGATGTCGGAGTAATTTGTTTATTCAGCGGCGAGGTTGGATGTTTGTTTCTGGCGGCGATATCGGAGTAATTTGTTTATTCAGCGGCGAGGTTGGGTGTTTATTTTCGGCGGCGAAGTCGAGCGGTTTGATTCTTTAGCAGCGATGCTAGATGTTTGTTCTTGGCGGCGATGTTGGATTTTGTCTTGACGGCGGTGTCGGAGGATCGTATCTTTGGATTCAATATCTGTTTGTATTTAACAGAGGACTGACGACGAGGTTAGATCTTTTTACCGACTTAATGTCGAGGCCTGACCGTGAGGTTAGATGCTTTTACCGATTATTTTAAGAATTGACGGCGAAGTCAGAAGATCGTTTTAAGAGATGACGGCGAAGTCAGGGACTTTACCAAAGTCCTGTGAAAATTGACGGCGAAGTCAGAAAATATTGAAGACCGACGATAAAGTCAGTTGATTTATAATTTTGACGCTGAGATCTGACAGCAAGGTTAGATGCTGTTAAAGGAGCTGACAGCGAGGTCAGACGTTCTACTTTATATGGGTGCCTGGCGGCAATGTCAGAAGTTCGTATCGCGGTTGTCAAATTTTCGGGTCCTTGGGTATTCAACCGTCTTTTACCTTGAATGTATGAAAGTCGCTTACCTTTCATCCCTTCAGGTCTAAGTCGCTTGAATAGGGGCAGCTGTTGTACCCCAAAATTTGACCGACCTCTCTGGCTTATGTTTTATTTCATAGCATCAGCACATACGTAAGCATTGCATTGCATAAGCATACCCCAAATTTGTCCTACCAGTATATACCTTCACCTGTGCATCCATTCACTAACTATATCTAGGAAAAAGGAGGAGGCTATCTTTGCTTGTGGTTCAGGGTTGTGTAAGGTGACTCGGGCAAGTGATGAGTATTATTCAGTGGCTTTTTTTTGGTTAGTCAGTCAAGAGATTGTTTCATGAGTTTTCAATCAGGGTTTCTGTACCCCAAATCATCTGTATGTGGGTCAGTTGTCAGGACTGTGGTTAATCAAGTGTTTTGTTGTCGATGATCAACAGGATCAAGTTTATTCTTCAATTAAAGTTTAATCATGGTTCTCTGATTTTAAGACATGTTTTGGCTCAGGGAGTTTTTATATTAGAGACTTTGGTTTGTTGATATTCAAATGGTCAAATCCAGACTGATTTATTAATTCAAGGCTCTAATCCGTTCCCAATTTAGGATAATTCAAGGTCAATTCTACTTCTCAAGGTTAACTCAAGTGGAAATTGTTTCAAGTCAATAATTTTGTTTGGTTCTCGCGGGATGTCAAGTTTTCATCATTTTAAGTCAAGAACTTTGAGTTTGGTTATCATGATCTTATGGCGATTTCCAAGTTTTGTTTATGAGTGAGGTGTAAAACTGGTTTCAAGTCCATTACATTTTATAACAGAAACTTCACAAATTCTACAATTTCATCACCATTTATATTATTCAAACCAAATCATTTTACGTATTCTGCCATCCTTGCTGTGCAGCAAGCTGTTTTCGTTTCTGAAATGCATGTTGTAGTTATCAAAACTAATTATGAAAAGTCATCATCAGTAGGGACTGCACTTTTAGATGCGTATGTTAAGATAGGAAATATTAATGATGCTGTGAAAGTTTTTCGAGAAAATTAAAGTGAAGGACTTAATGGCATGGTCGGCAATGCTAGCAGGATACGCACAAACAGGAGAAACCGAAGAAGCTGCTAAAATCTTCTGCCAATTGATAAAAGAAGGGATTAAACCAAATGAGTTTACATTTTCCAGTATCATAAATGCCTGTGCTGCTCCTACCGCGGCGGCAGAACAAGGAAAACAGAATGTTGTAACTCAGTGAAGCATGAGTAGACGGCAGCCAAAATTTCTGATTGTCAATTACTTCGTTTGGATTACAAGAAGGACCCATCCCTAAAATTTGCTCTATAAACCATTCAATTTTTCTGTTGTCAGTAATGGAAGTGGGAGCAGTGGACCCTTACACAACAAATCCAGGTCCAATTGATGGTTCAGTTCTATATGATCAAGACAAGCATGTATCATCGGCAGTTTGGGAAGGGCAGCAGGAGCGCGGTGCCCTCAGATGTCACGAACACACTTCAAAACTTGATCAGTGGACACTTACTGTTGCACCCCAAAATTTGCCCTCACAATACAAGACTTGGTGTTCTAAGAAGGTTCACAAGGTTCACAAAGTTCTCCAACAAATTCTACCAATTCCTTGAAGACGGGCTGTTATTAAAATTCTGAGGCGTTTGGTACATTTTTCTATCACCAGCACAAAAATAGGTGTAAAAGACAACATGCAAGTTCAGAAAAAAGAACAGCTGTGAAAAAGCAGGGTGTCACACCCTAATTTTTGACCATAAGATCCCTTCTCTTTTTACACATTTTTCTGGTATTTGACTTTATTTTAATATGTATTTTATTGGGGCTAACCAACTTGTGCAGGTGCAGTAATGTCGAACATAGATCCTTATAGTCGAGTACTTTAAGGGAATAAGTCTAGCGCTTACTCAAAAGATTTCGTGTGATTTACAAACTCGGGGATTTAAAAGTTTAAGACTCACAAATTCAGGTTTTGTTCCGAATTTGATACAAGACAAGGAAGTACGAGTAGAAACCATAGGTTCATGGATTAAGAGCTTGGGTGCATTAAGTAAATTGTGATGGCAAGGCTTATGGCGCAATGAGTTTGGAAGCTAACATTCGATTCAATTGCACTACGTGCTGTTTATGGATCAAGTTCACTTTTTCACCCAATTGAGAGCTAAGGCATGGATGATGTTTGTTACCATCTTAATTACAAACTTACCCACCGAACTTTGAGAATTAGTTTCAAGTACAGTAACCAAATTAGTGAATCATTAACATACAAATCCAAAGGTACATAAGCAAGATTTCAAGATCCATGACTGGAGGCAATTTGCAAGTCGATACCCACGTATCTAAAAAAAAAGGTTATTACATTTGAGATGGTAGCTCATATTACATGCACTGCTATTACAATTATATTTTCAATCCTAGTCAACTGGAAGGCGTGCCCCCATTTTGAGAAGCACCCTAAGATTGGCAGTTGTAAACCAGGTTATAGCAGGATGCCTACCCACTCTGAGTGTTTCTGTCCTTGGTGCCAGCTTCTTATAATCATGCTCTAGTCCCTGTAATGATGCATCTCATGGAGTCAAGTTCAAAAGTGCATACATCAAAGTATATTGGTTCACCGTCCGGAACATTTTCTTCGCGACGTCCATCAGAGTCAGCACTCCACCAAGCAAACTACCTCCTTAAGCCCAAAGAATTTCCTAGAGTACTAGCCAAAGCTGTACCAGCACGGGCATCAGTCTCCATGGCATATGTTATGGCCGCCCCTGCAATTAACACCACTCAGCAACAGCAGTTAACTTGGCAGGAATGCAGCATCACCAAAACAAGAAAGAAAAGTTCTACAACAAGTCGGTGGTTCATTACCATATCGATGTGATATACTTTTCTGCAGCACGTTCACGGTCTGGAGGCACCATCCCATGAAGTAATGACAGCCATATCTTCACAGAATTCCAATTCATCACAGAGGAATACCTGCAATCAAGTCGGCACATGCTTTAGGGTGTGATTTGAGGATTGTGACTGATGCAAGCATGCCTTAAATTTGAAACTATTTTGGGGCAGTTGGGAATAATTGAATGCTCTTCAAAGATTAATGTTAATAAACAAGGAAGGGTTAGAACATCACCTTCATCAGCACTAAACTCTCACCTGTCAAAAAGAAAAACAAAAACAATCAGTAACAGGACGCGAGTTCATACGCAATTCGAAGCGAATAGCAAGATTACAAAGAGATTTGAAGTCATATCAGCCCTCAGTTTAATCATCATTGGGCGTGAAGTTCGAGCGGCCAGGAGAGCCACGACCGGGACCGTTACCAACTCCCTACCGAGCATCGAACAAACTACGAGCAAATGCATCATAAGCATCAGTGATAAGAAAACACGGTTCAGACCGTCAAGGTCATCATCACCGTTGAACCTTTCCCGACAACGACATATAACCGGCAATCTCTGAACTTAAAGAGCCCTCGCTCCCTGAAAGAAGAAGAAGAAAGTCAGGTAGTTCAGAACAAACAGCAATAGGCATCTTAGCATAATTCACAACATCCATGACAAAGGCATTTCCACACTATCAGCGAGCAATATGCCACAGCAGTGCAAAGCAAACAGCAGCACATCAGCAATGTTGTGACAAACACGTCAACGGTAAGTAATGCCGCAACACCTTAGAGGCAAGCCAACAATTTAGAGAAAAAATAGGTATCTGTGAAAGCCATCAATTAAAGCAAACCCAATTTGTATCAGTCTGGAACCACATCTGAAAGACCATGAAACACAAGTCAATACGGGCTATCCCAAACTAAAGTGGATTCGGTTACCCAAATGAAATCCAAAACACATCAGCGAAATCCAAATGAAGTCAGAAAAAAGAAAGTTGAGCCAAATAAACCATATCCCAATCAAATCTGAAAAAGGAAAAGAAATCAAATCAGATCGGAAATAGGTTCAATCAAAACAGAATCAAATCAAATCATCATTAACTCAAAATCCATCTGCAAAAATAACGTAAAATCAACACAAATCCAGCCCACAAAGATCAATATAAAATAGAGATGAACCATAACCATCAAGGGGGCCGAAAGAAAAAGAGATGACGAAACCCTAACTCAGACAGCGGCCAAAACCATAAGACAAACGGCAATCAGAAAAATAGAATTTTCTCACCGGAATCCCAATGACAAACGAACGGCATAACCAACGAAGGAACGACCATCGTCACACGAAGCCGATCCACGAGACTCAGAGAATTGGAATAGCTCTCATCATCGTCATCAACATGAAAAGCATCACTAACATCATCTGCAAAATGCATACCATAGATCACAAAACGGCCGCGTTTACATCAGAGAAGGTCGCCTTCGCCGTCGGCGGGCAACTAACTCTCTAGGCCTCAGCACAATCCATCATCGGCCGGCAATCACAACGACGAAATTCATTAAACCGTCAAATGTAAGCCATCGCGTGGACATTTGTTTCTGATGTAGTTCCTTTGTTTTTTTCAGAACATTGTGAGAGACAGAGAAAGAGATCGCGAGAAGTGAATAGAGCGAGAAAGATGAAGAGAATGAAAAACGGCCGCAGAACATTAGGGTTCCCCATTTGGGGTTTTTGCCCTTAACCTGCTTATGGTAACAACCGGGCCGGGTTGGGATTTGACCACCCAACTTCCGGCCCAAAACTTTTTTTTTTATTTTTATTTATTATTTTTACTATTTTGTTGTTGTTTATTTTGTTTAAAAAAAAATAATAAAAAAATATATTTTTTAATATATAAATTGAACTGTTTTTTTAATATAATTTAAAAACCCTTTTTTTTAAAAAATAAATCAAGACTCTTCTTTTTAATATGAAAATAAAACTTTTTTTTTTAAAATAAATAAAAACTTTCTTTTTCATAATAAATTAAAAAACTCTTTCCTTTTAAAGTAAATCAAAACTTTTTTTAATATAAATTAAAACAATTGTTTATTCATATTTGTTTTTTTTTAGTTGATTATATTAAAAAATTGTTAATTTCTTATTATTATAATATTTGGATTAATTTTATTTATTCTTATTCACTAACCCATTTATATTCTAATCAGGTTTATTATTTTGTTAGATATTGCTTACTAACCACCTTTATTATTTATTATTGCTTATTTATATTTTGCTATTTAATTATTTTGCTTATTATTTTGTAATTGTCTCTTGGATGTAAATTGTAATTATTTAATTATTATTATCATTATGGTTAGTAATTAGGGAGTGCTAATATGTATGATATTTAAAAAATAAATTAGATCATTTTAATATAAGATAATTAAATTAAACATTTCACACACGTAAGTCGATTTTAATCGCCGTCACACTTCTTAAGGATATCCCTCAAGTTGCCTATGAATATTGGTTAAGTGGGGTGTATAAAGCAAGTCCCTCAAATAGAAAAATCATCAAAGTCCCTTATGGTTGCCTTTACGAATCGAGTCCCTTTCGAAAAATGATGATGGTCCCTTATATGTGCTTGTTACACCCCACAATGGCCTTCAAAAATCCAATTGTCCCTCACATGTCCCTTAACATCCAAAGTAAGGACTACCTACTCCATTATAGTAGGGATAGTCTTACTAAGGAAAGGATAAAGAATAAGAAAGACCTTAAAACATTAGGGTAGGCTACTCCTAGATACTTGCTCACTTCAAAACTTTTTCACACTTAAACAAATTTCCAACGAAATTTTCAAACAAGTTCTTAACACATCCTTACATGGATTATTTATTAACTATTCTGAAAATTTTCTATTCACACACTACACTTTCAAAACAATTCAAAAGTGAGCTTAAGTACCTAAGAGCCCATGGATAACCATGGATGAAAAGGGTGCTAACACCTTCCCTTTTCATAACCTACCCCCCGGACCCAAAATATTCTCTAAGGTCTTTCCTGTTCTTTTATAACCTTTCCTTATGGATAAAATAAAAGTCGGTGGCGACTCTTGCTATCCGCAACATTGTTTAAAGTCAGTTCTCCCACCGTGTTACAGAACTGGCGACTCTGCTGGGGACCTATTTAAGAGGGGTACCCTTAGGAATTAAGATCACTTTAAATTGTTTGCCTTGTTTGCTTTATTATTATATTGTTGGGGTGCTCTTATGTGTGAAAGGTCCTAACCCGGATCTAGTGTACCTTAGGTAAATGGCAATAGACCAAGGAAACTGTACGACGTATATCGATACGGTTGATCTGGTGGCCATAGTTAGTGCGACTTCTTGGTTGGTGCTTATATTCCTTAAGTCAAGTTGAGGATAATATTGAGGCTGCCATATGTTGTCAATGCACTAACTGACTTTTAGAACCCTAGTTAACTCATCTTGGCCTTTAGAAAGTAGTGAGGTAACCGGCTTTGGTGCAGACTGAAGTTGGTTGACACTCGATACTACGCTCATTGAGATCTTAAACTTGGAGGGTTTTGGTTGGCAAGTAAGTTGCCTTCTGATCAACCACCCTTGTGAAGGATCAATGATATTGAGATCCCTTAGAACCCGGTTACTTTTGTAGGACAGGATGAACCATCTAACTTCAGGGGAGGGTACTTACCTTTAAACCTCATGCAAGCCTTTAAACCTAGGGCAATT